ATTTTGTAACTAAAAGTTTTAGTAACTATGACAGAAAAAATTGTCACAACAAATAATGAGATTTAGATTTGTTGTGACAAATTTTATTTGTGATTATATATTTTAATTATAGTGACAAAATGTATAATCACAAATGATTATCTCCAATTTTTTGTACAAAAACAAAATCATATAGTAACATGATTTGTAATTATAAGTTATAATTATTGTTACAAAAAAAGTTATCACAACAAATAATGAAATTCAAGTTTTTAGTAAAAAGATATTTTTCATTATATGTTTTAATTATAGTGACAAAATATATTATCACAAAGATTTCCCTCCATATTTTTTTGCGCCAAAAAAGTCACATATTGACAAATTTTGTAACTATAAGTGTTAATAATTATTATAAAAAATATTGCCACAAAATAATGATGTTCACGTTTTTGTGACAAATTATATTTGTAGTTATAAATTTTAGTTATAGTGATAGCATATATTGTCATAATTATTTTTCTCCACTTTTTTGTTTCAAAAGTTATATTGACAATTTTTTATAATTATAATTTATAGTTATTTTTATATGAAAAAATTATCACATCAAATAATAAAATTCAAGTTTTTTGTAATTAATTATTTTTATACTTATATATTTAAATCATTATAAAAAATTATACTATCAGAACCATTTCTCTATATTTTTAGTGTCAAAAAAGTTATATAGTAACAAAATATATTGTAATTAATAAAATTTAAGTTTTTAGTAATTAATTATTTTGTATTTATATATTTTAATCATTATGAAAACTTATACTATTAGAAATATGTCTCCCTATTTTTTGGTGAAAAAATGTTATATAGTGACAAGTTTTGTAACTATATGTAATAGTTATTGTTATAGAAAAATTATTACAAATTTTTTTCATTTTTTTTAAATTAATAAAAAATTTAAGTTTTTTGTAAAAAAATTATGTTTGTAGCTACATATTTAATTATAATGATAAAAAATAATTATTATTATTATAAAAAATGTTCAAAAAATTTATTTTTTTCTAATAATATATATATATAATTAAATGGAATTTTAAAATAAAATATAACAACAAAAATATATTATCAAAAAGGTCAGGGACTTGTTTATTTATTAAAAAATCATTATTCTAAATTTAAAATCTAAAATACACAAAAATAAAATATAAAAAATAGTAAAAATGAAAATTAAATTGTTAAAAATTGAACAATATATATATTGAACTGAGAATGAACAAGCTAACTTAAGCCCTCAGGTAAGGCGGTCCATGTAAGTCTTGAACAATATATATTAACCATAGTTGGGTAAATTTCCTATTAGATTTTTTACATTAATTTTAGGTAAAGTTTACTTCCGTATATCATGTTATATTCACTATAATACTCTTCTTAGTTGTATAACTATTTTTAATATTTTTTACTATATAGTTTCATAATGGTTAATGATAGAAGTTGTTGGTTAAAGGGTCATGTTAATTGTTTTTTTTTCTAAGTTTGAGGGTCGCATTGAATGCAACAATAATTTGATGGCCAAGATTTTTTTTTGAAAATGTACAAGAGCCTTACGTATTTTTTTGAAAATTAATATAAATTAAATAAATATTAATCAGGTATCGATGACTCGAAAATACGGGTACCTAGGTTTTATTTAGGAGGGAAATTTCTCTCTATTTGATTTTAAAGGAAATTAATTTTTAAAGGGAAACTGGTTTTTAAAGAAATTTATTTGTATTTATTTTATAAATACTTTTTTAAAACCCTCATTTTAATCGTTTCAGTCCATTATTCCAACTTTATATTTCTTCTTTCATCGTGAAGGCAAAAAAATAAAACAATGAGTTTTTTCTTTGATATTATGTCTAATTACTCTAGTAGGGATTTATTTAAAAGAAATCTAAACCTATGGATTTGATCTAAAATTAAGATTCTATGACTACATTGAGAAGAATATAAATTATCCAACAAAATTAAATGCAAATAAAAAGAACCAAGAGATTAAAATGTAATAAAATAAAAAGGAAATAGTTAATTAAAAATAAAACATAATAGCATAAAATGATGACTAAATTGTACTAAAACAAAACAGTGAGCCACGATCAGAAATAGTAAAGAAACATTCAGTGACCAAATTGAAAGAAAGGAAAACAAGGGACAACATATGAAAATACGTGAGAATACAAGGACCAGTATATTAATTAGACCAAAACTTTTAGGAGAACACAAAAACCCTAGCCTTTCACGCGTTTTGTTTTCACTTGGCCAGTTCTCCTCTTTGTACGCCGCATCTACCTTCATTTCCCCTCCCCTGTTTGCAAATAAATGAATTTGAAACCTTCATTTTCATCTACCTTTCATCTTCTCCATTTTCTATGCTACGATCCCATCATTTCGCCTCTCCTCCTCTCTAAAGGTTTTCAACTATTCCTAACTACAAAACTGGTATGTCTACCATTCATTTTGATGCTTCATCATCTTTTTTGATGTTTCATTCATGGTTTGCTACTAGGGGCTGTAAATGAGTTTAATTGAAGTGCTATCTGGTGCTATTATATTTAAGCACAAGTCCAAAAGAGTATACTTTTAAAATATCTTTAATTGATCCTTAAAAAAAATTCATTAAATGAAAAATCTTTTTTTCTTCCTCTTGTTTCTCTTTGTTCTACTCTTTTCTAATTTGCTTGTGAGAAACTTGCTGACAGGTACGGTGAAAGCATGGTCACCAACAGCAAAGAGCATGAGCACCAGCATGGGATGCACCTGCTGTTAAGGCAGATAAGGACCGCTGCATGCGTAGCAAGGAGAGGAAGATTATTAAAATATTAGTATATTATGAAATTAAGGAAAAAATAATCATATAATATTTCAAAGAGAATAACAAACAATTTAAAAGAACAAATACTAAAATCATAAGATTTTTAATATGAAAGGTTAAATATATTTTATTATTTTATAATAGGACTAAATTAATAAAATATATAAATTTGAAGTATTAATTATTATTATGTCACTATTCTATCTAATATTTAACGATGAGCTGACTTATTTGTAATAATATTTTAATTGAGTGATATATCTATAATTTGTATGTAATTAAGTGACCTTGTGTGTAATTTACCCTAACTTTTTATATATCTGACAAATGGGTGCCAGCAAAGTTGCATTTATTATACAATACTGTTAATCCTACAATTATAGATACTCATAAATTAAAACTATAATCATTAGATTGAAAAAGAATTAATTGCATCATATGTCTTCAAAGCATGATTCTTATTTTAAATTAATCTCTAAATTTTTAAATGTTTTAATTTCACCTCTAAATTATGATTATCATTTTAAATTAGTTCTTAAATTTTTCAACATTTCATTTTCATCCCAAACTATGACCTTCATTCTAAATTAGTCCCCAAACTTTTTGAACATTCCAATTTCATCTCAAACTATATATATACACTAATCATGTCCTTTGTTAGTAAAATCGTTAGGCCAAGTTATATTATTATATGTTAAAAAATTTAGATTAAATTGTGGTTGAAAATAATCACATATATATATGGATTTAGGGATGAAATTTGAATATTCAAAAGTTTAGGGACTAATTTAAAAAGGGGGTCATAGTGTAGTAATGAAATTAAAATATTCAAAAGTTTAAGGACTAATTTAGATTGGAGTCATAGTTTAAGGATGGATTAAAATATTTAAAAGTTTAGGAACCAATTTAAAATAAGAATAATATTTTGGGGACATATGACACAATTAATTCAGTAGTTAATTAAAGGATATTATTATTTTCAAATATAAATAATAATAGTAATAATTATTATACATCATACCGAAATTAAAGTGAAAAGAAATGAAGGTTCACATGAAAGGGTATGGGACCACATATTATTATTCTTTTTTTCTTTTTTGAATGGGAGCCAATACATCCGACTTCGACAGTTACATTTGAGGGAAGGTCATCGAACCCCCAATCGAACTTGAACCAGTTTGGGGCGACACATCCCCATCATTATTAAGAGCGACCCACCCCAAATCCGGCGGGCACCATTGAACATGTGAAGAGGTTTGCAGTCTGTGTGAACTTCGAATAGGCGCACAGTCATCGTAAAGTTTGCTCCAGGATATGCTGACTTGAAGTATAGCTTCCGGACAATGAGAGACATCTTGAAAAACGAGAAGATTTCGAGCCTTCCAAAGCTGCCATACCAAGGAGGCAAAAAGAATGAACCAAGGGCCATTGGATGCGGCACAGCGGGAAGAATAACTAATATTTTCCATAAGCCAAGCTTCACGATCGAAATCAAAGAAAGATGGAAAGGGGTGAGCTTGGAAGAGTCTCCGCCAATTGCTCCGAGCTGTGATGCAATCTCGAAGGATATGGTGCAAAGTTTCATTCTCGATTCGACACAAACACCAAAAGGAATCATTTCCCAGACCTCGTCGGTATCGGTTAGAGTTGGTGAGCACTCTATTTCTGATGGCGAGCCATAGAAAACTCCTAATTGATTCCAAATTACATACTAACAAGGATTCGTAGTGGCCCAGGAAGAGGAGCATAAGGATTTATAAGGGCTTGAAACAGTGAAAATCCTCTTTGGTGTAACTGACCAATAAACAATATCCTAACCAACCGCAAAAGATGGAGCAATAATATTTCTCATATGATGAATAGCTATCGGGTGCAAGAGAGTGTTCAAAAGATCCCAATCCCAGCAACCATCTGAAGACACATCAGAGACAATTAAGGAAACATCCATCGAAAAGTTAGTCATTGCAACGTTGAGGAGTGAGCCAATCGGGGGAACCCAATTATCAGTCAAGAAATTAATAGAGTGTCTGTCACCCACTGACCAAACCAAATTGGTGTAGAAAGAACGCTATACGTTTGCCAAACTACGCCAAAGATTAGAACAAGTGGAACGGTATATCAAGTGGAACGGTAGATCAAAAAAGGGCATAGTTCAGTGATCTTATATTTCTCTCGCATGAGGAAGATCCAGAAAACTGAGGGGGGAGAGAATGAGATCATTGCAAATTTTGAAGAGGAGAGCAATGTTCTGAAAATTTATTCAACGAAGGCCCAAACCGCCTATATGGAGAGGTTGACAGAGGTCTTCCCATTTAACTAGAGTGAGGGATTAGTCGAGGAGGGGAGCCCCAAATCAAGCCACAAAAATAAGTGTTAATAATTATTATAAAAAAATATTACCACAAAATAATGATATTCACGTTTTTGTGACAAATTATATTTGTAGTTGTAAATTTTAGTTATTGTGATAGCATATTGTCATAATTATTTTTCTCCCCTTTTTTGTTTCAAAAGTTATATTGACAATTTTTATAATTATAATTTATAATTATTGTTATAGGAAAAAATTATCACATCAAATAATAAAATTCAAGTTTTTTGTAATTAATTATTTTTATACTTATATATTTTAATCATTATAAAAAATTATACTATCAGAACCATTTCTCTTTATTTTTAGTGTCAAAAAAGTTATATAGTAACAAAATATATTGTAATTAATAAAATATAAGTTTTTTGTAATTAATTATTTTTGTATTATATATTTTAATCATTATGAAAACTTATACTATTAGAAATATTTCTCCCTATTTTTTGGTGCAAAATGTTATATAATGACAAGTTTTGTAACTATATGTAATAATTATTGTTATAAAAAAAGTATCACAAATTTTTTTTTCATTTTTTTAAATGAATAAAAAATTTAAGTTTTTTGTAAAAAAAATTATGTTTGCAGCTATATATTTAATTATAATGATAAAATATAATTAATATTATAAAAAACAAAATGTTTAAAATTTTTTTTTTCTGATAATATATATATGTATAATTAAATGGCATTTTCAAATAAAATATAACAAAAAAAATATATTATCAAAAAGTTCAGGGGCTTGTTTATTTTATTAAAAAATCATTATTTTAAATTTAAAATCTAAAATACACAAAAAATAAAATATGAAAAATAGTAAAAATGAAAATTAAATTGTTAAAAATTTGAACAATATATATATTGAATTGAGAATGAACAAGCTAACTTAAGCCCTCAGGTAAGGCGGTCCGTGTAAGTCTTGAACAATATGTATTAACCATAGTTGGGTAAATTTCCTATTAAATTTTTTACATTAAGTTTAGGTAAAGTTTACTTCCGTATATCATGTTATATTCACTACAATACTCTTCTTAGTTGTATAACTATTTTTAATATTTTTTATTATATAGTTTCATAATGGTTAATGATAGAAGTTGTTGGTTAAAGGGTCGCGTTAATTGTTTTTTTTTTCTAAGTTTGAGGGTCGCATTGAATGCAACAATAATTTGATGACCAAATTGATTTTTTTTGAAAATGTACAAGAGCCTTACATATTTTTTTTGAAAATTAATATAAATTAAATAAATATTAATCAGTTATCGATGACTCGAAAATACGGGTACCTAGGTTTTATTTAGGAGGGAAATTTCTCTCTATTTGATTTTAACGGAAATTAATTTTTAAAGGGAAACTGGTTTTTAAAGAAATTTATTTGTATTTATTTTATAAATACTTTTTTAAAACCCTCAATTTAATCGTTTCAGTCCATTATTCCAACTTTATATTTCTTCTTTCATCGTGAAGGCAAAAAATAAAACAACGAGTTTTTTCTTTTATATTATGTCTAATTACTCTAGTAGGCATTTATTTAAAAGAAATCTAAACCTAAGGATTTGATCTAAAATTAAGATTCTATGACTACATTGAAAGGAATATAAATTATCCAACAAAATTAAATGCATATAAAAAGAACCAAGAGATTAAAATGTAATAAAATAAAAAGACAATAGTTAATTAAAAATAAAACATAATAGCATAAAATGATGACTAAATTGTACTAAAACAAAACAGTGAGCCACGATCAGAAATAGTAAAGAAACATTCAGTGACCAAATTGAAAGAAAGGAAAACAAGGGATAAAATATGAAAGTACGTGAGAATACAAGGACCAGTATATTAATTAGACCAAAACTTTTAGGAGATCACAAAAACCCTAGCCTTTCACGCTTTTTGTTTTCACTTGGCCAGTTCTCCTCTTTGTGCGCCGCATCTACCTTCATTTCGCCTCCCCTCCTCTCCAAAGGTTTGCAAATAAACGAATTTGAAACCTTCATTTTCATCTACCTTTCATCTTCTCCATTTTCTAAGCTACGATCCCATCATTTCGCCTCCCCTCCTCTCCAAAGGTTTTCAACTATTCCTAACTACAAAACTGGTATGTCTTCCCTTCATTTTGATGCTTCATCTTTTTTGGTGTTTCATTCATGGTTTGCTACATGTATGTATGCATGTTAATTTTCATGCGTTTTCGTTAACATATTCTTAAAAGAGTTTGGGATTTTTTTTATAAACTTCTGTACATTTTCTTTCCAGGATTTAAGAATCAGATTCGGGCGATACAAGAGGCAACTGCAGATACTATAACTTCCCAGAAACGAAAAGAAGATGATGAACAAAAATCCCAACAAAATTGGAAGATTAAAATGTTTTATGAGGGGGATTGTCCGCTTTGCATGCGTGAGGTATATCATACTGCAAATATATCTTGTGTATGTTTTGCTTATGATGATCATATTCATAGTACTAAATTGCTATTGCGATCATCATTGCGGTTATGGTGGTACAGTCGCGGTAACCTTGAAAATCGTTACGATGCTGCCGTTTAACTAGCAACAATTTAATACTATGATAATATGTGGTGGGTTTATTCTTTTTATTTTATTTTTTCACTCGATTTAACATTTATTTCGTTGTTAGGTTGACATGCTAAGGGAGAGGAATAAGCAATATGGCACTATCAAGTTTGTTGACATTAGTTCTGATGATTATTCTCCTGAAGAAAATCAAAGATCGGACTACAAAACTGTATGTTCACATTGTACATTTTTTTTAATCCACATGAGAAGTTAGCTACTTTGTGTAGTGTAGTTTTTTTATTTCTTTTTCCGAGGTTATTGAACCCATTTTTCATAAATTTCAAGGGTTATTCTTTCAAGGAACATGGTTTGTATTGTTTTTGTTTGCTTTTTAGGTTATGAGAATAATTCATGCCATTCTCTTTGATGGAACTGTTGTCACAGATGTTGAGGTATATTTGTTAATTTGTACATCGCTCTCCTGTATTGGAAGTATACTTGGCCTAATTTGATGAATGTTGCACTTTTTTTTAACAAACTCCAATTCTATTTAAATAGTATTTTCCACGAGTCGTTTAGCAATTTTCGAATCTCAGAAGGGACTGACGAGTCCTACAACTTATATTTCAGCAAACGAGAGTCGCTAGGTACACTTAACAGAGTCGCTAGGTGGTAACTCGATTCCCGGATCAGAACTTCATTCGAAAATCACGATGCATAATTTCATATTCCAATGACGAATTTCAGAACTTAAATAATAATTTTTAAGGTGACGGAAATATTTTTTTCTGGTTCGAATCGGTGAACCGACAGTTGAATTTGGCTCGATTACGGATGCTGCCAGTACAGAAAAGTGAGACTATCGGCGATGAGGGTGTACCGACAACAGCCCTAAGGGATGGCGAACTCACGACCATGCTCACTATGGCCTTAAACGGCCGGCCACCAAGGCCTTTTAGCTGCCAAACGGTGAAAGTATATAAAGAAAATAAGGCTGACGAGGGTCTGCCCACTGAATTTCCGACCAGATAGACTTTCCCCACGTCACTTCCGGCCACGCCATGACCACGGACGGTCAAAGCAAGCCGCGATGACGGCACATTCGCGAGCAAAGCTCACTGGTTTCGAGCGGACGCGACTTCAGGTCGACGATAGCAGAAACGCAGTTAAAGGAGACGATCGACGAGCTTACCTGACCGGTCAGATGGCGTGAAGGGCAATGAAGGAGTGAGCGGCGACGGCTTAAAGGGAGATGGGATTGCTGCTAGGGTTTTTTTGAGGTTCTGTTGCTAGGGTTTTTTTGAGGTTCTGCTGCTAGTTTTTTTTTGAAGTTCTACTGCTATGGTTTTAAAAATAAAAGGGGAGGGTTGCGCAGAGTTATAAACGGGGGAAGAGGAGAGTTTGATATCAAATAGAATTGCGCTAATTTGAAGGTAAGTAATATTTTTTTAGGGTTTTGCAACTACGACTTCAATCTCTACCAATTTACAGTTTGGTCACTTGTTTCAATTTATGAATTTTAGGTCAAAAATTCTCAATTACTAGGGTTTTAAATTGGGAATTTTTCGGTGTGTTACACCATCCGTAAAGCATGCACAATCAATCTCTCCCTTCCTATTTATCCCAGTTTCCTCTTGGCGGCAACAATATATGTCGAAGAACATAATTTTTTAGCGTTAGATAGAGTTGTCAACGATTGTTTTTTATGGTTACTACTGGAAAGATTTTGCAAACTTAAATAAGTTAAGTGCTCCAATCCTAAATAAAGAAAATTTTCTAAAATAATTATAAAACATATAATTTAATTATATTCCTACTAAAATTTACATTAAATAATAATAAAGGTCATTATATTTTTTCATATTTATTTAATAAGAATAATTTAATTAGTGGTGTGCGTCGGTATGTCATATTAGTGGTTGTTTCGGTGTGCGATGTGCGCTCTAGATTCATCCTGAATTTGATCTAACTCATATTAATGAAGATGTAAACTTAAAAAAAATAGAGAAAGTAGGAAATCTAATTTGATTGAAATTAATAAACATATTTTATTTTATGTTGATTAAAAGTAGAAAAGGGGTCCGTTTGGTTTTATAAAATATTGACTATTTTTATTTTCATTTTCTTGGAAAATAGAAAGCATTGGAAAAAACTGTTTAGTTGTAAAATTAGAAAATGATTTTTTTTAAAATGAAAAAAATAAGTTAAAATATTTCTTTGTGTAGTGTAGTTTTTTTATTTCTTTTTCCGAGGTTATTGAACCCATTTTTCATAAATTTCTTCTATAAATTCAATTTGATTAAGAAATTTAATAATCCGAATTTATTAAACCGGAAATGACCCCAATATTTGGATAATCTATATTACCACCATAATGAAGCAAACAAGAAAAGCAAAACCGATTGCTCGAGCAGATACTAATGAAGGAGGCTAGAATGGTGCATTGTATGCCGTCCTCCAGGCAACGTAAACTGCAAAATGTATTGTAAAATGAGAATAAAACAAATATATATTTTTTTAATTGATAAGATAAAGAGAATAGGTACTTTCCTGCAAAGGAGCAAATGCAGAACAGAACTTTAGTATAGAAGAAGGGTCCCTTAACATTCTGAGAAATCTGTCAATCTCGGCTCCACTGGAGTGAAACGTAAAAAAATAAATAAATAAACATAACATTTTTAGAATACACAGATGAATCAAGAAGGTAAGCTATGAACATGAAACTTGTGAAAATTTCGTTTCCAGAGATAGGGGAGGTAAGTAAAGTAACTATCTTGCAGAAAACATATAACATAGCACCTAACAAACTTTTTATGCAAATGGCAAATCTTGTATTTATAAAGATGCATGTGGAAATGGATGCTAAAATTTACAAAGCTTCAACAATTGAACCGTAATTTCACTGCCTAAAGCTAAATATTACTGGAACTTATCTTGCTTTTTTTTGAAGTATAGTGTCCAACACCCTTTTCTGACATATATTTTGACATCGGTAGGGGATATGACCCTTCAAGAAATCTCCACATACATGGAAAAACTGGAAAAAAAAAAGGATATACCTATGTCGGTTACATATCTGTATCCGACCCTAACACCCAAATCAAAACAAAATAGGCAGGAACTCCTCAAAGTGTTCTTTGGTATTTGCAGGCATACTGCAGCATGCCATTGAGGAGGATCAATACAACCTTGGTGTAAGATTGGCAGCATTTTCATCGTCATATACTTTTTACCCATTAATTTGTTTTCTCAAGCCAATAATTTAAAGCCTGATTTGATTTCCTACAAACAGACTTGTAAAGGCATTTCCTACAAAATGTTCTGAGTAGACATACTGAATTTCATACAAAAATGACAGAACAACGTTCAAAACAGTTGATCTCACCTACAGAAAGGCCGGAATGGTGTTTGAGTCACTTACTAATCAAGTGCAAGCATTAACTTTTACAACAAAGTCCAGTTTGGTCTTATTAGTTACTGGTACAAATATTGGTGTTTCAAGAATGCACAATGGGCAACATAAGTCTCACATCAAGAAAGTCTAACATCTTAGGGTAATTTATAAAGTCCATAGGCTAGCCTCCCTTCAGCAATTTCCTAGTGAGATCCACTGCTCTTCCTATGGGGTTGGATCTAGTTGACTATTGAGAGAGAGAAAAAAAGGGAGAGATGAATGTGATGACAGAGGCCATGGGTAGTGACCAGTGCATGTAAATATCATGTTGTCTACAATAAGTAATTTACTATATGGTAGTAAATAGATTAATACAATATGTAATTTACTACCACAAACTCGTTCAAATTTACCAGTTGCATGCCAAATGCTAAGGCCAAAACATTAAAACCTGCATCTTAGATGTCCTGCTTCTTGTATTCTTATGGCTTCTGCTATCTATCTGTGCCAAAGCAGTGGGGACCAATGATGAAGCTGCAGTATGAAAGGATTGTGGATCGTAGAATGAGTTTACAAAGCCTTCAACATGCTTTAAGGCGATCCTCCCAACCCCATCCGTGTTCAGAGTCTTTGAACTTCCAGATGCGTCTATCCTGTAAATAGTTATGCCAAAAATTAGATCTCAAAAGTAAATTTTTGAAGCATTCTCCTACCAGTCAATACCACTTTTTAGCAAAGCTTAAATATTATTTTTGCTTCATTTTAGACGCTGTCTGGTTGTCCATCCATGAGAACTTGCAGAAAATAGATCTTTTTATCTATATATTTGAGGCTCCCAATCATTGAAACTAGGAATCCAAATTGCCAACTAGCAAAAAGTAGTTTGACATACCTTCCATCGAATATGTAAACTAAGGCTAATGCAGCCATAAAACGAGCCATTTTTGATATTGATGAAGAGCATAGATGAATGAGAGGTTTAACTCCACCATCTTGTACTATATGGAGAGCATTTTCACGATAAAAGGCCAAATTCCAGAGTGCTCCAGCAGCAGTCTCGTGGACATCCTGAAAACCAATCATATACGAAACCTTAGTTTATGGTTAGAATATTGATAAGAGCCTAGGGTTCTATCGAAAGGGAATTCGGAAAACTAACAAGAAAAAGTAAGATTTGATCATTTCGAGGGGATCAACGTCCAAACAATTGCCAAAAGGCTTTTTGTATATTTGATTGTTTGAGAAAAATAGTCATAGGACATTACATATTTATAGGGTCCATAATCCTTGGTATTGTACAAATACCCCTTATTGGCCAAACTCTTAAGGATAAACACTGAAGTTAATTACCTAAATACCCCTTATTGGCCAAAGCCTAACATTAATCTAACCTGTCAATTTACATCAACTTTAAATTCTCGGTAATCAGGGCCAAAAGCAATTGTACTAACAGTAACATAGAGAATATTCATAAAACCACAGTTAATGCTAGAAAAATCTTAAACTAATTTTGAAAATAATGAATAATCTAAGCAAGCAAAGAGTGAGAAGCTTACTTCAATATCTGAACGTGCTAAGACAATAAGTGGAGCAATACCACCTTGTCTTCCGATAGCAATACTGCATTAACAGAAAATACAGCAATTAGAATCATAAATTGCTAAGATACATCCTTCAAGAAAAAATTAATATACACTGCTATAATGTATATTGAAAAGGCTATCTATAACCCAAAAAATAAATCAAAAAGAAAAGAGATTGCTTCTTTCAGTTTGACATAAACTGAGGCCTAAATAATCGTAGATCAAACATTTTGTCAAGACACGGAACTCTGAAGATGAATTACGTCTAGAGTTTTAAGGTTTACACATGTAAATCCTTCAAACTCTAAACTAAATAGCATGAACAAGGTCTAGGTTACTCGCATTTGGTTTACAAGAAAAGATCTTTTTACAAGTATACATCACCAAAGCAAAGGGGAACTTTC